CGCTCACAGGGCGCTGGCCCAGGGCTGGCACAATGTGTGTTAGATCCTGCAGTTTTCCAGTGCGTCCTGGGTCCGGACAAAGATGACCCCACTTACAGCACAATGACAGAGGAGTGGCTGAAAGACAACCAACCTTCCCAAGGTCGCAGCTAGGATTCAAACGCAGGCAGGCTGGTCCCAAGCCATCTATTCAGCCTCTGCGTGCTCCTGCCCAGCAGGCATCAGCTGTGAGGAGGTTGCCCAGGGAAGAGCTAGGCACTGCAGGCGGGTGTCCAGGGCAAGCTACCCACACGGGGCTGCTGGGAGAGACCTCCCTGAAGGATATGCAGCTCTGGGAGGATGCAGAGAAGGAGGTGAGGACAAGAGCTTTCATGGCAGTAGGAAAAGCAAGTCTAGTGAGACTGGAAGACAGGAAGTGGTGCCAGATGGTGGCATGGGAGTGGCAGGCATGGGCAGGTGTGAATAGGTGTGGGCAGGCTTGGGCTAGCTGTGCATGGGCCTCCCTCTCCTCTCCCTTGGATGCCCCCCCCCCCCATCTTCAAGATCTGCTTCCATTAGCCTTCCCCTAAAGCCCCCACCTTCCCGGATTCCCCACCCCCGGCAGCACCCATTCAGCATTCCTTCCTCCTTCATTCACTCAGCAAGCCTGTGTGAGTCTTGTTTCAAACCAGGCTCTGCACCAGCCACTGGGAATAAGACCATTAATAAGGCACAAGAATAAATCACGGCATCTTCTAAAAAGAAGAGCCGTTCTAAGTGTTATAATAAAGTGGTGTGCGAGTGCAGAGGAGGGAGCAATTAAAACGTCTGGGAGAAGGAGGGCAACGTTCGGGAAGGCGCGCTGAGGCCTGGCACTCCAGCTGGACCTGAGGGCTGGCAGACAAAGCGGGAGGCGGCTTCACCCAGGGCCAGCTGCCCGGGCAGACAGAGCAGCCTGTGTCTGGGAGCCCTGGGTCCGACGGAGGGACAGAGGTGGAGAGACGGAGGTGGAGCTGGGGGACCTGGAGTACCCTGGAGGGAGAGGGCTGTTTCTCGGGCCTGGGATTGTTGATGGAGACAAGTGTGTGCGTGCTCCGATGCACATGCGAGAAAGACCCTTTTCAACACCATAGAGAAGTAGCACATTCTAACCGTGGGCTCCCTCCCCCTCCCCCCACTCTGGCTTTATTTCTCTCCATTGAACTTATCACCAGCTTCATACTTTACTTATTAAACTATATAAAATGGCTCTTTTTATAGGTCAAAATGGTGGGTTATTAGCAAGCTCAAATAGTTCAACCTGTCATTTTATTTATTAGTCCTTCCTTCACTTCCCTCCCCAGCCCCCATTAAAATTTGAACTCCACGAAGAGAAAGACTTGAATCATTCTTTGGCTCATTGCTACATCCCCTGTGCGTAGAACAGTGCCTGGCATAGAGTAACTGCTCATCAAGTATTTACAGAATGAATGAATACATGAATGAATGAACGATGAACGGAGAGAGACTGGGGAGGGGAGGTCGTGGTTATCCTCCAGCCCTAACCATGGAAGCTCTCAGACGATAGATCTTTAACTCCGTGATCAGAAAGCAGCAGAACCAGTTCTGTTCTTACTTTCTGCCAATCTCTGGGCAAGTAACTGACTTTTTAAAGTTCTGGTTTCTTCGCCAGTAAAAAGGAACAGGAGCAGATGCCTCAAGTGATTGTTATCAAGATCATATCAAAAACCATGGGAAATGCCCCACATAGTCCCAGGCATGCAGCCGGCACAACATAAATGCTATTTCCTCTTCCTCCCTTCTTTATATATTGAGCCCCGTTTTGCCCTGTCCATACATAAAGACCCACAGAATCAAAAATTTTTAAGTGTGGCCGAAACCGGTTTGGCTCAGTGGATAGAGCGTCGGCCTGCGGACTGAAAGGTCCCAGGTTCGATTCCGGTCAAGGGCATGTACCTGGGTTGCGGGTACATCCCCAGTGGGAGATGTGCAGGAGGCAGCTGATCGATGTTTCTCTCTCATCGATGTTTCTAACTCTCTATCTCTCTCCCTTCCTCTCTGTGAAAAATCAATAAAATATATTTTTTAAAAATTTTTTTAAGTGTGAAAATTGATGTATTTTGAGTTTGGAAAGAGAGAAAATTCACCCACAATAAGTGGGTTGTAGTGTGGCGAGAAGCAGTGGATGCTGAGCCAGGGTCTGGGTGCCATCTGCTTTGCCCCCCCATTGGCTCTTTGGCTCTAAGCAGGTCATTCAGCCTCTCCCTTCAACTCCCGTTGCCAGCTCGCTCCATCCCTCTCTTCTGCAGCCACTACCTGGCCCCACTCTTATGGTGGGGACCCAACCAGCAATGGTGTGAGAAGTGGGAATGAGACAAGAAACATAGGGAAGGGCCAAGGACACTCCAGAATTGAGTAGGCGGGCAAGGGTGTCTGTTGGGCACATTACTAGGAAATAAAAGGCAACAATTTTCATTTTGACGTGGGGACTTCGATCCAGCCAAATCCAAATGTTCCCCTTGTCAGCACACTCGTGCCTTCTAGGAAAGAACCTCACCCTCTAAGTTTTAGGCAAAGCTGCAGCCCAGGGAATCATCAGGGAAACACAAATCCAAACCACAGTGAGATGACCTCATACCTGTTAGCATGGTTATCATTAAGGAGACAAGAAATCATCAGCGCAGGGGAGGACTTAGAGAAGAGGGAGCCCTCATGCCCTGCTGGTGGGAATGCAGATTGGTGCAGCCACTGTGGAGAACAGTATGGGGGTTCCTCAAAGAACTAAACATAAAACTACTGCATGACTCAGGAATTCCACTTCTTTCCAAAGAAAACAAAAACACTAACTCAAAAAAATATAGTGCCCACCATGTTCATTGCAGCATTATTTGCAGTGGCTAGTGTGTGGGAACAAATTAAGTGTCCATCAATAGGTAAATAAATTGTGATATATATACACAATAAAATATTATTCAGACATAAAACAGCATCAACAATATGCATGGGCCTTGAGGGTATTGTGCTAAGTGAAACAAATTAGACAAAGAAAGGCAAATATCAAATGATCTCACTAATATGGGGGATCTAAAAAACAATGTAGGCTCATGGGTACAGAGAACAGGATGGTGACTGCCAGAGGCAGGGGGTTGGGGATTTGAAAAATTACTAAATGACTTGGTATTTTTTGTTTTGTTTTGTGTTGTTGTTGTTGTTTTTTTAGTTTAAATACATTGAATAAGAATATTTTTTTAAAAAAAAAGATGAAGAGCCCAAGGCTAGGAGAACGTCCCCATATCCCTGAACTAAGCTATAGGGAAACTGGAAACTAAACTGAGTCCCCTGATTCCATATTCCAAATTCTTGTCACCCTCTTGTTAGCCGTAGAAGGTGGGTTATACTAGTGTTGCCCCCTTTTTACAGATTAAAAAATTGAGGCTGAGAGAGTAGAAAACCTGCTCAAAGTGTATGCACCACTTGCCAGTAGTGGAGAAGAGAAGAGACTTTGGATTTGGACCCAGGACAAGGGCACCTTCTGGTGTCCTGGAGCAGAGGTAGTGGCAGCTCGTGGGGAGAGCCGGGGAGCTGACATCAGGGGGAACAAGAATGCAGAGAGGCAGGGAGAGCAAAGGAGGCAGCCCCTGAGGGATAGGAGGGAGGCCGCTGAGGAAGGTGCTGCTCACCTCCCCCAGCAGGCAGATTTCATGGCAGTAAACAGCCCCCCTCTGAGCAAGTGAGCAAGCACTGTGACAGCACAGCTACTGTGGCACCCCAAATCCACCCAAACCCCATGCATTAAGCCACAGGCCCATCCAACCGTCCCTCGCCCAGGTTCTCATGCACCTTCTGCCCATCAGACAGATGTACTAGGAGCAGCCGAGGGTCCATGTGAGCCCAGTCACAGCACCCACCCCCTCACTCCCAGCACGCGGACCGCAGGAGACAGAACACACAGGGTGGACAAAGGTAGATTTACAGCTGCAAGTACACGAAACACAACATTTATTCCTGTAGCATTATTTCTGTATTCATTGTTGTATTTATTATAATTATAATAATTATTGTTGTTGACCCACTTTTGCCCACCCCTGTATGTAAGATCACTTGGCGATGGGAAAAATCGTTCACAACGTTCTCCAAATAGCCGACCTCTGCTTTGCAGCGATCACCCCCTTCTTGGCCCAAAGTCAAATCCTGCTGCAGAGCAAACCCATCTTCTCTCTTCCTACTTTTGCTTTTGATGAGATGGGCAGTAAAAGGGGGCGTGGACAGAGAAAAAGCACAAAAGGCACAGAATCAGGACCTAACCTTGCGGCCTGGAGCAGACAGAGCAGGGAGGGGAGGTGGGAGGACCCGCTAAGGTCCAAAGGGAACCGGTCAGGGTGGCCGCTGGTCTGTGCTCTGAGTCAGGACCCAGCGAACAAGGACGGAAGACACACTTCCTGGCGTGGTGAATCTTTTACTCGTGAATCTTTTCCTGTGGCTGCCTCGTTAAATGCAAGCTGTGGAGCTGTGATAGCGGCTTGTGGGTTGTCATTATCGCAGCCTGGAGGCCATTAACCTCTCCAGGGTGTCAGAGTGCTCCTTGGGATCAGGAGACATTCAAGCTCCCTGTGTCCCATAGATGGGGGTGTTTCTCTGGCCCCCACCTTGGGGACCTTCCCTTTTTGCTCTGCATTAGGGTTCTCATACTGGGCACTGCTGACATTTGGGGTGGACGAGTGTTGAGGGGCTGTCCTGTCTACTGTAGGATGTTTAGCAGCATCCCTGGTCCCTGCCCACTGGAAGCCAGTAGCACCCACCAGACAGGACAATCAAAATGCCTCTCGACATTGTCACATGTCCCCTGGGGAGAAAATTTCTCCCAGTTGAGACTCTGCATACATACTCTCCTGGGGTCCAGAGGACCAGACCCATCTCCCCTCCAGCCCCAGGCCTCCCCAAGCTCCCTGCTCAGCCCACATGGCCATCTGCCTGTCGGATATTGCTCCATGGGTAACTAGAGGCATGGTCTTCCCCCAGGCCACCTCCCCAATCCCCTAGCCACGTCTGACCCCCACCCTCCCACTGAACCTTGCCCTCCTCCGGGGTGCAAGGCCCCTGGGTCTGAGCCACTGTTGTTCTAATAAAAAGCTGATGGTCTCCACTCACCTCTGCTCACAGCCTACATCCAATCCACAGTCAAGATTATGGGCACTGCCCCTGGACCACTTCCAAACTGGCCCCTCTCTCCTCCTTGCCACAGGCTTGGTGAGGGCCCACTTCTCACGCTCTCCCCGCCTCTAGATGTGCCCCCTCCTACCCACCACCCAGGCCTTCGCCACAGGGCACTTTCCAAAGCACGAATGTTGTCGTGTCTGTTGTCTCAGAGATAAATCCAAACGCTAGGGCCACAGGGTCGGTCCTCTGGCCCCACTTGAGCATGCTCACAAGCACATGTGGCCTCGTCAGCCTGATGATGATAATATACTCAGAGCAGCCTTGAGCACACTGGGCACTTTTCTTATCATTTTAGAGAGAGTCCTTTGTTTAAACCTCACAACTACCCTGATCAGCAAATACCCACCCCTATAGTCGTCATTTGCCCGTAAGGAAACTACGCTACCCGTCCAGCCCCTTCCCTTGGAACACCCTTCCTCCGTTCAGATCACCATGGTCAGGCCGCCCCTGTCAGCAAAGCCCTCAGGCATGACCAGGGCTCCGTCTGCAGAGGGGGAGGTCTCCCACCGCCTGAGACCCAAGGGTGGCCTCCCTCCTGGAGACGGGACTTGACCCAGAGAGTGCTGAGCCGATGGGAGCCGATCTGACCTGCCATGAGCACAGGCTGGGCCCACAGACGGTGTCCCCACTCTTGCAGGCTCTGTGCCGCTGCTCCCCGAGACCAGCCTCCTCAATGCGGGGCACCTTCCCTGGACCGTGCGCAGGCCAGTCCCGTGCAGACGTCCAGGGCGGGCTTCTTGGTGAGCCTGTCAGCCCGGCTTCTGGGCTCCGCACAAAATCGTGTTCTATTGTTCGCAACAAGCACACTCTTCTTGCCTGTGTTTGCAAGTCTCCCTTCCCTCTCTCTTCTAGAAGGTTCCATACACTTTTATCTACTTTTCCAAATCCTCCTAGTATAACTCAAAGGCCACCAACCTCCAGGACACCTTCTCTGTTCACACAACACAATGCCATTGGTGAGCGGCACCTGTGTGACCAGAAGCCACACCCATGCAGGCATCTCCTCTGAAACTGGTGTGACGACAGTAACCGCCCCCTAGGGCTGGGGAGCAACAAAAGGATATTGTGTAGGAAAAGGCACCTGGGAGGTCATCTGTCTGCCATATTCTGGGAGTTCAACAGACGTTTATATAAAAATCTTAGAATATTAGGCAATGGCCTTAGGACACCTTCCTCCAGGACAGTTTTCATCCACGTTTGCCCCAGGAACTGGTGGGTGGGATGGAATCCGGCCTATGTAAGAACCAGTCCTGAGGATGTGCCCAGCGCCTCTTTTTGGAACCAGAATTATGGTACAGCCAGCGTTGTCTGAAGTCGGGATTCCCAGCTGAGACTAGGACCCAGCAGAAGCCAGCACCACAGTCTGAAGCGCGGCCTGAAACAGACATTTTGCTATAAAGGAACTGTCTTGGTTGTGTGCTCCATAGGATGTGATTTAGCCACCACGAGTTCCAGCCCCGTCTCCCGCCCCCACTGCCTTTCCTTTGCAGAGTAACTATAGGCCCGTCTCTTCCCCTCCCTGGGCCACAGTGAGTGTCCTTATCTATAACATGAGCCGTTGGCCTACATGATTTCAAAAGCCTTCCAGGAATAATATCCTGGGGGTCAAATCCTCAACCTGCTGCTTAGTTCCAAGAATGGGGTATGTGTATATGTGTGTGTACACATGTATGCAAGCATGTGTGTCTGCATTCATGTATGCAGTGTGTGTGCCTACTACACCTATGCAGTGTGCCTGTGTGCACATATGCAGTGTGTGTCTGCATGCACATATGTAGTATGTGTGTGCCTACTGCATGTATGCACTGTGTGTCTGCGTGCACATATGAAATGTGTGTGCCTGGATGCATTTATGCAGTATATGTGCCTGTGTGCATGTATGCAGTGTGTGTTCCCATGTGCATGTATGCAGTGTGTGTGCCTGCATGCTTGCTCAGGGCATGTGCTGCACGGTTTCAGTGTCCTTTCACTTGATTGATGATGCCTCCCATCAGATGCCAAATATAAACACAGACTACAGAGACTTCACTTCTCGCATCCACTGCCTTCAGAACAGATAAGGTTCGGGGAGAGGCATGCCGCCGCTGACATGCATAAATACGCTGGCAAGCGTCAGAGCCCCTAAGGTCTCTTTTTTCCTGGCAGGTATGCTGGAAATATCCACATAATTGTGTGACAAATATCGCACACAGCTTGGCTTAACAAAAATCAGGTGTTTCATTTGCCCAGGAAGGTGGATGTGCCATCTGATAAACAAGCCTAAGAGACTCACGTTTTTTCCTGAGTAATTATATTCTGATGGCTGCATGGACAGACCATGAGAAAATCAAATTATTTTTATAAAGCAAGAAGAAATGTCTAGTTAAATACACACAAGCACTGCCACGAGAATCACAGGTGAGCCCGCTGGGAACACAGGCTCTGATTCTATGTAAATAACAGAATGATTGGAAGACCCATTGTTCTCCTCGTCATGGTGTATTTTTAGGTTAGCTGGCCCCATATCCCTTCTTAGGACGTCATCAAATGTTGTTTTTAAAGCAGGCTATCACAAGAGCCTTCAAAAAATTCCTTTCCTCTCCCCTAGAGTCCACATTCTACCCACAGCCTCAGGAACTGACCTCACATTAATAATAAAATGGTGCATTCCCTTTCTCAAAAATCACCGCTGGCCTCTCCCAGTTTGAAGTCCAAAACCCCTCGTGTCCTTCAGGCCCTCAGACTCTCCGGCTCACCCCCTGTCCTGTCAGTTTCACCCCATCTTCACTCCCAGGGTGTGCTCCTCTCCCCGTCAGCCAATGGAACCCTTGCCTGGCCCCCCAACACCCAAGCTCTTTCTCTCACACCCCCAAGCCTTTGTTCTGCCTGTCCTCTCCCAGCCCGTTACCCACCTAGAAACCCCTGCCTCTTCTTATGGCCCGGCTCACACGTCCATTCCCCAGGCGATTCTTTCCCACGCATCCTCATTCATTTGGTCAACAAATATTTGTGGTGGAGCCCGGGCACCAGGTGTTAATGATACAGAAGTCAATAGTGAGGGTGACACACTGAGACACATGAGGGGTCATTTGGAAACCAGAAGATGTTACCAAGAAAGCAAAGCTGAGTCCCTGACAGCAGTGCCCCTGAGTGCAGCGCCTGGCAGAGTGTGGGTGGAATGAAGGGATGCCCCAGGGATGGGCGAGGGATACACCGGGGACGTGGGGAAGCCACGGGGCCCTCTGGGGAGCTGGTGAAAGCAGCTGTGGGCAGATCCCACGTGGTGCCACCAGGAATGTCACCCCAACCTGGGCAACTGGTCTGACTGCTGGTGCTGCCAAGGCCCAGGAGAAGGGCCCCACTGAAGCTGCACGGGGTCAGGAGTTGGCTAAGCAGGTAGAGGCCAGGAGACAGGGCCCCTGGGGCCTGTGGAGCTGCTGAGCCTCACCCTCAGGAAAGGAGAGGTGACTCCAGCAGTCATGGGGTGTCTGGGACACCCGTCCACTATCTTCTAAGCAGCAGCAAACGGGCGATGAACTTGAAGGGCCGAGAGCAGAAGATCCTCCACCTGGCTCAGCCCTGGATGTACCCACGTACAGGCAGCAGCCAGCACATGCCTGCTGAGTGAGGTCGGGAGTGAGCAGCACCTAAACAACGAAGTGGGCACTGTGAGAAGCCAGGGGGCACGTAGATCCTCCCTCCATTTCCCTTTAAAAGCGGAGGCTCTCAGGGCCTGTGGCTGAGGACAGTGAGATGGGGGACACATGAGGAGGGGAAATGGAGCCCCCAGAGGAGTACACTAGGAGCGGCTCCTTTTCCTCCTCTGAGGCCAAGAAAGAACGAGGACAAGCCAGTGGGCTACTTCCGGCCTCGGGAGCTGGTCCCAGGGGCACTGGTGAAGGGGTTCTGACTGCTTCCTTGGGCCCTTTATCTCTGCTATTGTTTTAAGAGCGTGACCTCTGTCCCAGCCCCATCCCTGCCCCAGGTCACACTGCATCTGCCCTCCCTGCTGTGACTCCACCAGCAAGCTCCTAGCTAAGGGCGGTGCCTCTTATGAAATGCTCCTTCCATAGGAAAATGCCATATGTAGAGACACAGAAACCGGCAAAGTGCAGCTGGAGCTAAGCCTGCCTGGGCTCTGAGGAAGCCCAGAGAGCCCGTCCTGTAGAGCCGGCGTCACATTCCTCTTCCCACACAAGCAGCTTGGAAACGTCCCGCAGGCGGAGTGCACACCGCTCAGGGACAGGATGGGTCCTGGCCCTGGACCAGGGTTCAGGCAGAGGTGAGAGGGAATTAAGACCAGCCCAGGTCCCAGGGTCCTGCGAGGGACTCGGGCCCAGCATTCCCTCTGAGCAGAGAAAGTCACGCGGCCACATGGCCTGCAGGGTGTCCAGGGCACAGGGAGCAGAGTCAGGGACAGAGTGGGGACGACAGTGGGTAAGCTGAGGACTGAGACACAGGCTGAGGAATCTGCCTGAAGTGGACAGGGGCTGGGGAGACAAGGGAGCCTCTGGGACAGAGGAAGTGGCAGCCCGAGGTCAGCCAGAACGCAGGGGAGAGACGGGAGCGGGAAGCGGCCCTCGGAGGGCTTTGTCTTGTCCACAAAAGCAAGCAGGAAGAGGGCTGGCGGTGGGCACTGCGGTGGGCATCGCAGCAGTCCGCGGGCGGAGCATCATTGGCATTCCATCTGGCTGTAGGCAAGGTGGAGTTGGTCTGAAGCCCAGTGTCCAAGTTAACAAAATGCCCGTGGCGGGGGCTTTACAAAGGTTGTTGAGTGAAGACTCGCCTCTAAGTCCTGAGCCTCGGTCCCTTCTGCTATAAAACCTCTCCCGGTAATATACTTGGAACATGGTAGGAGCCCCACAAATGGCTTCATTAACTATCCTTCATGGGTAAAGAAAGTGACCAGTAGAACTCAAACTGTGAAAGGGAATTAACACCGGATTGAATATCTGGACCACAGAGTTCTGTCACTTTTATAGCACTTTACGTTCCAAAACGTGTTCATGTGGATAACTTCTGGAGGGTCCCAAGCATGTGTGGTTACTGTTGAGACTGCTCCAGTAGAGAGTTTGGTCGTTTGCCTAAAGTCACATGGCAGGTCTGTGGTGGGCCAGACTAGGGGCCAGATGCCCTGCCTCCAGCCCAGGACCAGCCCAGGCCTTCATCTCGTCTCCCAGGTGAAGAGCTCAAAGGCAGCAGAATGTGTTAGAGGGGCTGTCTTCTCAGCTGGCCAGTCCTCGGGGGGTGGGGGGCCGAGGAGGCTGGAGGAGGGCAAGGCCGGAGAGTGGTGAGCAGGTGGAATCCAGGGGGACTTCCTGCAGAGGTCAAAAGGATGCATCCCTCTTAGCCTTGGTTGAGGTTGGTCCTCATTCCCAAGATGGCGACTCCAGCACCCTCTGGGCTATGATGATGCACTCTGGGTTGTCTCTGGAGCAAGCCTGGGCTTTGGGGTGGACACTGGGAGCAGGAATATCCCTTTAAGGTGTGACTGGTTTAAGATAGAGAGGGGTGACACAGCTCAGCCAGGTAAGTTGGGGTTCAGAGGTGGGCTCAGGCAGGAGTGCTCAAAAGGCCAACTGAGGCAGGATTGATACCATGCAGTTTCAGTCAATACACCTCACCAGCCCTGCAGATTCTGAGCCAAAAACCACCCAACTACTTCCAGGCCTGCCTGCTAATGGAGCTGAGTCTCCTGAGGTCTCTTGTCCTGTCAGATTTGTGTAGACTCTCCATCACCAGGGGAAGAGCACGGTGCCTAGAGAAGCCCAGTGCTTCTAAGAAGCCACAGCTCATACTACAGGAGCCTGGGAAAGGTGGGTTTGAAGGTCAAAGAGCTCTGGTCTCTCTTGACATTAGTCTGTAATTCTCTAAGATGTAACCATGGGCCAGGCTGGGTGAAGGACCTCTCTGCACTATTTTGCAACTTTCTGTGTCTCTAAAATTATTTCAAAATGAAAAGGTAAAAAAAATCATGGTGTCATGACATTGGCCTTCAACACCTGATGCCACTAACCTGAGGACCCTTTGACAATCCCACCAGCATCGAAGCAAAGACTCCGACCCAGTCAGGGCCTTTCGGGAAGAAGCGTCCCAGAGTTTGGTACTCCTTCTCCCACCGCCACTGCTCTGTGTCAGACTTGCATTTCTTCTCATACAGACCCTTCCTACCAGCCCCTGTCTCCACTCTCTCCTTCCTCTGTCTATCCCCTACATCACCACCAGACGGGCATCTCTGAATCTCTGCTCTACTTCTAATTCTCCAGGGGCCCTTAATCCTTTTGGGATGAAGTCAAGCTCCTTAGAGAGTTCTTCAAAGCCAATCACAATGTGGTCTCAACCACACACCTTTCAGCGTCATCTCCCCACACAGGCCCCACTGTCATCCAAGTCAAGAGCCCCTGCACCAGGCGCACCAGACCTCCAGACAGTCCTCAAAAACATGGCCAACTCACCCAGCCAGTGTGGCTCAATGGTTGAGCATCGACCCGTGAACCACGAGGTCATGGTTCAATTCCTGGTCCAACAGTGATCAATTCATCCAGCCTCTCCTTCTTTGCCCAAACTGTTCCATCCACCTGGTAGGCCCTCCCTAATCTCTCTCCGTCAGTCCTTCTCTTGCTCAATACTTAGCTCAAAATCCTTTGCTACTTTCCTCCCACCCAGTGGAAGAATGCTTTTCTCAAGGTCCCCAACTCTCTAAGGGGTCGGCACCTAAGAGACAAACAGTGCTCTTGTCCTCCATCGGGCAGTTGGGTCCTTCCTATTGGGAGTGATCTGGGAACAAGGCCCAGGTCTGGTTCACCTTTGCCCCCCTGGCTGTCTTGCTGGATGGATATTTCTGGAATGTACTTTTTGAGGGAAACCCATTCCTCAGTGCAGAGAAACAACATTTGGGTCCCAGAACTGTGCAGTTGTTTTGAAAAGAAGTGGAAATTACTGACCTTCAAAGCAAATTTGAGCTGAGGGTGTGCCTGAAACAAAACACACAAGGAAGTGGGAACAGGGAGGGGACCCGAAGCTCTTCCAGCTTTGTGGTCCCACCAGGAGAACATCTTCCAGAGCCAATAGCAGGTGGAGTTCGGAAAAGGTGGGAGCAAAGCCTCTTCCCGCCTCCTTGTGGCCTTCAGGATGCTTCTGGGTGTTTCATCGCCTTTTTCTTGGAGTGGGGTAGGGGCTGGCTTCCTCTGAACAGGTCCTCCTGCAAAAGGGGTCTGGGGGACTGGAGGAGGCAGGACGTGAACAGGGCTCGATTGAGTGAGGCCAGCAAAATTGTACGCGGCTGGACAGCAGCATCGATCCACCACGGGTGGGAGGAGAGCTGGTGGGGTGGGCCTGCTATGCTCAGCAGGTATCTCATCTGCTCTCTCCTTGGTCACGCGGCCTTGAGAGTCTGTTTGCAATTACAGCCTGTTTTGATTATTAGGTCAGAATATTCATCTCCATGGGCTTATGATAGAAAGCCAGAGCAAAACAGCATTCCTCGTTTCAAACTAGGCCTCCCTTTCTTTGTATGTGTGTGTAGTTTTTGCCTTTTCCTTGTTTAACCAATGCATTCAGTTCTTGACTCCAGGAGGGTGGTGGCTGCAAGAGGCACCCAGAGGCAGCGGATGCAGTGGCCCTGTAGGGCAAGAGTGGGAGGCCTTGGCTGCTCCCTCGGAGCCCCGCCCAGTGAGCAGGCCAGAGCTGGGCGGGCTTTGACTCACGCAGAGGCAGCTGGCTGCCAAACGCAGGGGCTGATGTTGGGAGAGTCCTAGGAGGCCAGGCCTGGCTGGGAGGGACCTGGAAAGTCAACTGTGGAACCCCCACCAAGTAGTTAGGCAATCATTCTTCCTATTCCTCCAGGGATGAGAAACTCACTACCCCTTGGGCCACCTGATTCATTGGGCATCAATTCCAGAGAGGAAAATGCACCCTTACTTACAAGAGTGGTGAGTCCTTGGCCTCCAAGTCTTCGCCAGACCAATATCTCTGTTTCTTCAAAACACTGAGTTTGAAAGATTCTAGTCTCATTATCATCCTGAGCAAATGTAACATCCCCCGTGTGGTCTGACTACTCAGAACAATCAGGACTTTCACCTCCTTCCTTCCAAATATTATACATCTCTCATCATGGAGCCTGTGCTCCTTCTCAGTAGACTCAGGTCTAGACCTGAAGGAGGAAACGCCCTCACAGGACACAAGTGTAAACACTACCCCTTTCTCCCTCTGAGCCCTTTTATGGGTCCTCACAGCCCAGGCCCCCTAAGATTTGTCTTCATTCTGAGACTCTGGAGTGCCCCAGCATCTTCAGAACAAAGAGGAAAGGGGCAGAAGAGGAGAGGGAAGTCACTGCTCTCAGTCCCAGCGTAGTCAATATACTCTCCCTGCCTCCAGCCATGGTGGCCTGGCTTCAAGGGATGGAGGGGGGGCGGGGGGAGTCAAGCCCCTTTCCCTCTTCCTCATGATTCTTGGGATGCTGCTGGATGTGTCATCATGTTTTCCTTGGGGTTGGGCCAGGGGCTGGCTTCCTCTGAGCAGGAGAAGAAACAGAGAGACACACAGACAGAGACGGAGAGGTCACGGTCTCCTGTAGAGCCCTTGGGGACTTACAATAATCTTTCTCACCCATGCAGTGTCTTAACAACTATGGGAAATAGACACGTATGTTACTTATATGAATCTATTTTGCAAAACTGAGATTCAGAAAGGCAGAGGTCACCAAGCTAATGAAGATTGGCTCTGGGAGAAAAGGCAGAGAGGTTCTCTGAGCCAAAGCTTGGATGACACCCCTGCTGGTGTGGCTGTTGGTTGGGCATCACCAGGGCACTGAAAGGTCACTGGTTCAATTCCCCATCAAGGCACATGCCTGGGTTGAGGGCTCAATCCCCAGGAGGGGGTGTGCAGGAGGCAGCTGATTGATGTTCTGCTCTCACATTGATGTTTCTCTTTCTCTCTTCCTCTTTCTCTCCCTCTAAAAATCAATAAATATATATTTTTAAAAGCTTGTTGACAGTCAGAGGGGCAGACCCACAGAGTGCTGAATTTGTTTTAGATGCATGATGATATAAGCAATCTCATTTATCATCCAAACTGGGTCTTTGGGACTGAAAGGGGGCACTATTAATGTTTACACAAGACACAGCCCATCCCTGGCAAACCAGGATATACGTCCTCCAGCCACAGAGTCCTCCAGTCCCAGGCCCCCCAAGCCACCTCTCTGTTCTGCATGCCCACCTCAGAGAACAACCCAGAAGCACCACTGACTGACACAGTGGTATCGCTGAGGATGACTCAGTTTCCTTCTACCAGCTCAGACCTTTCTAAGAATCAGATTGTTCCATGCAATCGCCTCTTGGACACCTCCTCCTGGGTGATCCTGGGCCCCACGCATGAGCCTCTCCAAATGCTGTCCTGTGCGAGTCACAGTTGCACGTGGGCATCTGGTCTACCCCACAGCACACACACACACACACACACACACACACACACACACACACATGCACACACGCACGCACGCACGCATGACACAGTATAACCCAGCTTTCGGCACAGACCCACAGCCTTGAGCTCAACTTCACCCAGTGATGCAGGTTACCCAGCAATCCGGACTGCTCTCATCACCCCGGCCAGACCCCTTGGTTTGTTCTGCAGTTGGAGATGGACTCTCATCTCTCATTTTCTTCTCCCGTTTCAGACCGATTCTGAGTTAGGTCTCAGTTTTCCTGCCCCTGGCTTCTCTGAGGAGCCAAACCACTGCCCACCTCCTGTCTGACTCGGGTCTCTGCTCACCTATGTCAGTTCCCACCCTCATCCTGGGCTTGATTTCATCATATTCACCCCCACAGTCGCTGCACGCCGAACACAAACCTGCCCAAGTGGACCCACAACCTCTCCTCAGAACTCAGTTCTCCTCCTGCATTCCTGGTGGTAGATAGACCCCGCCGGGCACCTGGTCACCCAGGGGAGGCCTGCCAGTCCCCAGAAGCACAGTGTTACAGTGGTGCACCCCCTGTCCTCATATTCCCAGGAGAATGATCACACGTGTCCCCACCTCGTTGTGCCTTCTCCCCTTCCCTGTGCACAGTGCCGAGCACGGGGCTGGTCTGCAGTCAGTGCTCGGCCACCCTCTGCTGCAACAAAGCCAGCAGAGGCCCAGTCGGGAAACGTGGCTTCGTTGTATTCCAGTTGTTCCAAAAGATTGAATTGATTTAATAGGAATGCTTCCTAACGCGTGAACAATTATTATTGTTTTAAATTAGCAAGAATAAAATTCCACCATCATTCTCCCCGAAGCTACTTGCCAAGACGCTGAGCCGTAAATTCACAGCGCCCGTGAGGAGCTAGACAAACAGCCATCGGAGCCGTGAGGAAGTGCTGCAACTGAAAACATCTCCAATCCATATTTTCCCCTTAGGGAAGGGGAAGGAGCGAGAGAGCAGGGAGGAACTTTTTTCTTTTTCTTTTAACAGGAAATCTTATAACTCGCCCCTGCCCTCCTTCTAGCTTCACAAGAGATGCCTGAGGTTGAGCATGTTCGGCTGACTGAGGAGGAAATCACGAAATAAATTCAGCTAAGCGAAGCAGCCAGTGGCCTTCACTGCAAAAGCCGACAGCGTTATGTGGCCTCATGCCCACCTCACCCCTGCTCCTCCCCTCACTGCATGACCTCAACTCGCTCTGCTGACTTTGATTCCAGCCACAAGACTGGGCTTAGCGTGCATGTGACAAGCAATTTGAGGTGTACTCTCAGCCCCACTCACTGGGTAAGCCAGTTCCCCCTCTGGCCTCAGTTTCCCCCATCTGTCCACGGTTCCTGACTGTGAGGTTCTTAGCTGATAGTGTCTTTGGTTGGTTTTTGTCCTCTAAGCCCTGAACCCTGCACTCCTTGGAAGAACAGGCATTGTAGTGGTTCAGCTCATTTGCATGTGAATTCCAGGACCCAGCCCGGGGGACTGTGCAGGTAGTTCTCATGGACAGAAGCCCCATCTGGAGCTGTGAGGCATTGTGGGATCAGGCTGGGACCAGGCTGCGACCAGGTTGTGCTCCAGCTTGACCATCTGGTTACTGCAGCAAGTCCCCTCCCCACAGAGCACCCTTATGTGTTCTGGGGTGGCTGGCACAGTCACTCATTTATCCATCAGACTTTATGGACACCTCCCCACATTTCAGAGCCTGAGCCAGCCATGGGCGCAGCAAGGACACCCCATGAGTCTGTGGGGCAAGGGCAGACACAGGGACATGGCTGGGCCCTTCGAATGCAATGTGGCAAGTACTAGCATGGAGGCAGGGGGAGGTGCAAGCACAAAGGGAGGATTCCCTTGGGTCTGGACAAGCAGTCCAGTTGTGGAGCCATCTGAGGTTTAGAAGGGGGTCTCCAAGCTTCCGGATGGAGGTGCACCCGTCCTTGGCAGGGGCCAGCAGGAACAAAGGGTCAGAAAGCACCGCGAACTTTCCCGACCTGCCTAGCGGCTGGGACGTTGTTCTAACGGCCTCAGGACCACAAGAAGGTGTGACTAGAGAGGTGCCAGCTGTGGGAGGTCGGGGAAGGCACTTGACCTCTGATGCCTCACTCTTCTCATGTACAAAATGGGAACAGAGCGCACTCCTCTCAGAGAGGCAGGGGAAGATCCCGATGCCAAAGGATGTCAATGTGCCCGGGGCAGCCTCTGGTGCATGATGGTCCTGGGAGCACAGTTATTGAATCTAAATGCTTTCACCCACGTCTGGCCAGTGTGGCTCAGTGGCTGAGCATCAACCTATAAACCAGGAGGTCACAGTTTGATTCCAGGTCAGGGCATATGCCCCGGTTTTGGACTCAGTCCCCAGTAAGGGGTGTGCAGGAGGCAGCAATCGGATTCTCTCTCATTGATGTTTTGTCTCTCTCTGCTTCTCCCTTCTTCTCTGAAATCAGTAAAAATATATTTAAAATAATAATAAGTAAAGGCGTTCACTCACTCCTCTCTCCGAGACTCACCGAGTGTGCTTTGTGCACGTGCTTACCCACTCCCACTCCCATGCACACCCCCGGTCACCCCAGCTCCAGCTTCATCAGGGTCTCCTGATAAAGAATTTCCTCTCAAGCTCCCAGCTGGTGTCTCAGCGCTATCCCCCACCCCAGCCCCACCACGCCCTCCCTGGCCATCCTGGTGGAAAGTCTTGCTGGGCTGGGGTGTAGCCACTTGTGCACATGGGCTAAATAAGCAGGCCGGTGTTGTCTGTGGTCTCATAATTGCGTTTCCTCGGGAACAGAGAGAAGTAGGAACCGAGCTCCTGGGGCTGAGGTGGGGGGCAGGAGGGGGTGGGAGCAGGGGAAGGAAGGGGGACCCTGGGTAGAGAAGGGTCCTAGGAATGAACCAGTTCAAGTGCGTGGCCCAGGATGCTGCGTGGGGAATAAGGGAAGGTACAGACCCTTCTCCAGATCCCGAACCCTGAACCACACGGGACGTGGCTCACACAGTGGGAGAGGGGGGCCTGTCCAGGGCGCAGCCTCCTCCCCGTAGGGCTGGCTGAACCCTGCTGCTTGTCACCTGGCTCCCAAACCGGCAGCCACCGCGGCTGTCTTCTCACCCTGCTCAGGTCCACCTTCTTCCATGGTCCACAAGGTCACAAGCAGCAAAACACGGTGTCTGCTGAGCATCGGCACCGAGCACAGCGGGACACGGTACAGTGGATGAAGTGACAGGTAGCCGGACACAGCCGGCTCCTCCCCCGGGCACAGCCTTGGCTGGGGCTGCTTCTCCCTCCAAGGGAGGCTCCCTCACTCTCCTTCCTCCACGTTCCTGCAGCTCCACCCCCTCCTTCTTCTGGAGCTCAGGGGAGAGCCCCTACCTCCTACAAGAGAAGAAAGAGGGGGGGAGAGAGGGTGAGCCTTCTGAAAGCCTGTGTGCTTGATTTCACCAAATCTTTGCCTAGAAACATGGAAGAACTATTCCCTCTCTCCAGGGGCTCAGAGACGGAAGAGGCATTGCCCAAAGGTGCAGATTTAGGAAATGGTGGAGTCCCATCTTTCAACCAACTTACCACCCATTCATTCAAACCTTCATTGCCCTACTCAGAGGCGTGCACGGGCCCAGAGTCACTTCACAGCAAGCCTGGGAGTGGGGGCTCTGGAGGGCCAGCAGGGGCCCGGGGCCTCCGTCTTTACCTTCCCAGCTGGCTCTGGCTGGCTGCGACATCACATCTCAGGGAGCAGCGTGCCATGTGCACAGTAAGCTCAGGGAGTTTAACCAATGTTTGTAAAACCTCTCCATACGCAGTTAATGACCCTTATTAGAACCGAGAAAAGCAGTCACTCATGCCACGTCCCAGCTTTAAGGAGCGTTTTATTGTTACACGCCACTCCACAAATGAATGAGAGAAGCCCTGGCCCATTTGTCAGGGGGGCCAACGCCCAGGGATGCTGGCGGAGAGGCCTTTGTCCCGGAGCTGACTGGGCCAAATCTGCCGCTCCACCTGCCCTCCCTGCCACCCCCAGACACCCACCACTCTCGAGCTGCCAGCCCACCAGCTGGCATGCCTGGAAGTGCCCACCTTCAGTCTGCTGGGCCCCAGATCCCTGCGCCTGGAGCCTGAGCCCAGCAGGCCCCACTGTCTCTTCCCTGAGGCACTGTGGTGAGGTATTTTCATATCCTGGGGTAGAGGGTGAGAAACACAGATTCCTGGCCCCAGCCTAAAATATGAATTTTTTTATTCTTTTAAATATATTTTTAATTGATTTTAGAGAGAGGAAGTGAAAGGAAGAGAGAAACATGGATTGGTTGCCTCCCACACCACCCTGATTAGGGATTGAACCAGCAACCTGGGTATGTGCACTGACCGGGAATCGAACCAGCAACTATTAGGTGTCCAAGACAATGCTCAACCAACTGAGCCACACTAGCCAGGGTCAAAATCTGAATTCGTAACCAACCTGAAGACCAACATAGGGAACGCCCAGGGTCTGAGACCTGAGCCTTAGATGCCTGCATGACCGTCCTGGCTCCGCCAAGGCTGAGTGACCTCAGGCAAATCGCTTCTGTCTTCCTCAGTCTCCTTATTTGTCAAATGAAGACGTCAAATCTACCTCCAAGTGGTTTTCATAACAACAACGTCACCCGGTGTGGCCAACATGCATTTTGCCAGGACTCGCCTGCCTCTGCTGTCGGAATCACGGAATCATGAAAGCATCAAGTTCAGGGTGAAAGCAGCCAATGGTTGCACAGTATTCTGGCTAATATTTTATATTATGCAAATTTTATTTCAATACAAAATGGTTAATTTTATGTCATGTGAATTTTGCCACAATAGAAAAAAAACAAAACAAAACACAAAACCACCCAAAACAGTTTCTTTCCATCTTAAATAGGACATGCTTACCAGCCTCTGAGCCTTTGCCCAGGCTGTTCTCTCTATTTGATTAGCTCCTACTCATGGTTCAGGCTTCCTTTTGGAAATCATTTCCTCAAAGGCTCCTCTGCTGGCTCCCAAAATGCTGTGTCCCCTCCGGAGGGGACATGACCACAGGCTGTTCCGGGCCCATCTGCAGGCACCCCGCTGAAAGATGGGCTTTGGGGCTGGGGAAGGGCAGGTAGGTCCCAGGCACAGTAG